AGGAAGCATCTGCATCCAGCCTAGAATTGTCCCCTGACCACGAGGAGCCAGTGCATTTGGTGGTACTCAGGTGTCATGGCACCTCCTCCAGCAACCGCAGCAGAAAGTTCCAGATTGGACTATAGCAGTGGTTGTCACTGAGGCAACCGGATTCAGGTGCCACATGGCATTGTCTGCCTCTCACCCAGCCAGTGGTCCTTTCAGGCAGCACAACAGGAGGGTGTGTTGTAGCTGGATTTGAGGAAAGAAGGTGGGTCTTCTGGTGCACAGTGAGCGAATCTGCTCTGTAGGAAGGATGGAGTGAGTTTCTGCCCTCCCGCGGGAAAAGAGATTTTGGGACACAGACAAGACCAGGATTCCCTATTCAGCGCGCTTTCGGCAATATTTCAGAGCCTGGTCCTTCTCCCGGTGATAATGATTATAATCACGGTTACGAAATTATACAAGGCAGTGCTTCCTACAGATTGACACCTCACTGAAGCTGAGTTCCTTAATGTAAAATACAGGTGATAAAATATAGAGCTGCTTATATACTCCTCGTTTAGAAGCAACCCACTCAACCTCTGTCCCACTCTCGTATAGATCTTTAATTTGTCCGTATAGGGCACTCGACCTAAGCAATATCCATTTCAGTAGGCATCATTTCACATTTGAGAACTGTCTCACCTATAAATTATGGTTCCTGTTCCTGCTTATTTGTTTCGAAATAGGTGCAATCTTTATTTTATGGCCCTTACAGCCAACGTACATGTGATATAGCCATGTGTATAATTACTGAGCATTACGAGGGCCTAATTATGAGCTACCCTCAAGTTAATAGCTCTCTGGAGCCTCTGTTGTGCATTGTGTTTAGGGTCGCTTCACTGAGAACATGCTCAGATGGGTCGGTCCTTCATTGCTTTGCCTCAGGTTTGAGGGTAAATTTCTTGGGTCCACTTTGAAGATAATAATTTGGCTGAGTAAGCCAGGCCAGCGCCCTCAGCCTGGACCCTGGATCTGAGGCTGGCCCCAGGGCACTTGACCCGCTGCCGTTCTTGCTAACCAACCCAGCTCCCGCCCATGCTCTTCCCTTCCAGAAACATGGCGGAAGTGGTCTTCATCCGTCTGGTTTCAGGACAGGGATGACTGAACAAATACCACGGAGCTTGTCTTTAGTCTCACTCCCAGTTCCTATTCTCTTTACCCGACACAAGTCCTGCCTCCTCCTGGCACACAGTGGGTGCCTCGAGAATGGGGACTTTTCCTCACGTGCCCGGCTGTTCCTCTAGGCTATGTGTCTAAATTCTGTCTATTCAGAACTTGGGTTTGTAACTGGAGGATGGCAGAGAAGGGTATTTCTGTCACAAGGCATGCCATACAGAATGTAGCCTGTGATTTGCTAATGAGAGGGGCTACTGTTTCAAAGTTAGGTTACCCCTGGTAAAATGTCTTTTGGGGACCGAACAGCTTTGGAAGCAGAGAAAGGATTGCCTTGCCTGACTGCAGAAATGCACCTGGAGAGTTCATGTTGTTGGTCGCAGACTCAGTAACGCACAGGGCACGCTCACTTTTAACTTCCACGGTGGGACAAAGAACCCGGGGATGGCAGGAGGCCCTCTGGTGCCCGTGCTGGTGGGTGAGGACTCTGTAGCTTTGGGACTGCTCCGACCCGGTGGCTAGAGTCAGAATCCTCTCCTGTGGCTAGAGTCAGAATCCCCTCATGGGGCAGACAAACCTCCACCAGAGTCCTGGCTGCTGGAGTCAGCTCCCTGCACCTGCCGCTGTGGGGGGCGCAGGGTCGGAGGGGGCTGCAGCCATACATGTGACGTGATGAAATAAGCCGGAAAGAGGGTCACGGGCACCCGGAATGCCAGCTGCACCCCATGACTGCTGACCCGAGCCCTGTGTTGAGACCCTGGGCTGAGGCTGCCAGGCTTCTGGGTAGCCTCCCCCCATCTCAGTCTGGGGAGGACCCCGGTGGATCCCCCATAGAGGAGCCTGAGCCAGAAGGTGCTCTCCTGAGGATCGGACAGACCCAGCGACAGCGCCGGAGTGGGAGTCGGGGGTGCAGAGGTGGGGTGGGACTGGCAGCAGGGAGACCTCAGCTGTCCTGAGTCCAGCGGGGTCCTGTCACACCTCTCCTCTGTGACTCGGTGACGCTGAGCTCGTGTGGCTGCGTCTTCCTGGGCCAGCCGCTGAGTTCACATGGGTGGGAAATGAGGTGATGGGCTTAAGGAGGGGAGGGGCCGGCTGCACCTGTGCTTCCCAGCAGAGAGGGGGGTGAAGCCTGACCCTCAGTGATCAGAGCCAGACACGCAGAGACGGGCAGAGGGGCCCAGCGGGAGGTCTCTGGGGTGGGATTGGGGGCACCCCATGCCCTGGGACCGGCCACCGACGGGACACTGGAGAGTTCTATTAGGTCACCCCCGTCCTGGGCAGGGGTCCCGGGAACCGTGATCAGACGGGGAGCTCTGACTCAGAGCAGGCAGGATTCCTATGAACAGCGTGTGGGGGCCTTTGCCCAGGTGGGACTGCTGTGGACACGGTGCCATCTCGGGGGATGGGCGGGGCTTGGCCGCCTGGCTCCGTGTGGGACTCAGCAGAGCTGAGCCTCCTGTGTGAGGGACAGGAGCCCCGCGTGGGGTGTGGTGAGGACAGGCAGAGCAGGTGGTAGGAGGTGAGGCCTGAGTGTGACGCTCTGGTTTGTGGTGGTCCTGCTTCTGAGCCTCAACTCATATGTATGTGTGTGTATATATATATATATATATATATATATTTTAGGTTTATTTATTTGAGACAGAAAGAGCGAGCAAGCAGGGGGCAGGGCAGGGGGAGAGAGAATCCCAAACAGACTCAACGCTGAGCATGGAGCCCTACCTGAGGCTCGATCCCAGGACCCTGAGATCGTGACCTGACCTGAAACCAAGAGTCGGATGCTTAACCGACTGAGCCACCCAGGCGCCCCTCAACTCATAGTTTTGAGACATGAACACATCTCCAAAGAGCTGAATCAGGATTTGTAAATGTTCTGTGATAGCAAAGCTCACAGTAGAACTTTTGATCAAGTTGCAGAACCTTTAAGAAGGTAGCAGTCCGGGCTGTGGGCATCCATGGTCCGAGCTTCGCTCTGTGCCGTGGACACCGTGAGCTTGCAGAGCCAGGAGCAGGAGGTTCCGGGCTGTCTTGCCCAGGATGTGCTCCCTTGTGTGGGGAGCTGCAGGGTGAGGCCGCCTCTAGGCCTGCTTCCCGAGTGTCCGCAGTCTTTGTGACCCACACCTGCTCCTTTGTGGTTTTTCCTGGAGCTCTCCTCGGGGACAGCCGGGAGGCCTGGTCTCCCCTTCTTTCAAATTCCCAAACCAACGTGGAGCTTTTTCCTGCATCCCTGCAGTGTAGCCTACGTGGGGGTGGTGCCGGGCTGTGCCCCTTTCTTGAGGACAGACCCCAACGATTGCTGACCCTCTTGTTCCTTTCGGACGAGCCTGCCCTCTAGATGGGACTGTCCTCCAGATGGGACTGTCCTTACCTCTTCTGGGGCCAGGGGGCCTGCCTGGCTCCCCACCATCTAATCCACCCTGTCTGTGCTGTGTGGCTTCGGTCCGAGTCCTTGCACTGAAGGCTCGGACACGCAATGAACCATGTCTCTTGCAGCTCAAGGTCTCTGCTTTTAAAACTCACGATCCTTTTCTTAACCTGCTTGCTAAGTAAATCCACCCTCGACAGAAGGATGCTACAGGCTGAAGGGGGAATTAGTAGCTGGCAGAAAGAAAAGACAGTAGCAACAAAAAACAAAGTTCGTTACAGTAGCAAGAAAGCCTCATGGTGCCCAAAGCGCTCCTGGAAAATGCGCCCTTGTGTTGTTGCAAGATTGGCTTCAGCTTCTAAGGCTGTCCTGCACACCAGCTCAACATTTTACCCTGGGCCGCTCACTCACACCCACACACACTCACACTCACACAGATACACCTCAGCCCTCACTCCCAGCCAGGTTGACAGTGGTCTAGAGCTGGACAAGAGCCTTTACGTTTAAATACAAACTGAGCTTTTGCTTCGTGAGATTATCAGTGTATTTGGTAGAGATTTGAGTTGTTAATTTTTGGCGTTGGCTCGACGGAGGAGACATCTGTGAGTGTTGTAAGGGAGTGTTCTCTCCCTTACAAGTGCTGGTTGGTTAGGGTGTGGTATGCAGAGTGCCCAGGACCCCCCTGCCCAGGACGCTCAGCCTGACAACCACCCCCCACCGCCACCTCCACTATCTTTTAAACCGTCTATTTCCATGTAGCGGCTTCTGCTTCTGGCTGCTGGCTCTGCATATGCCGTTTCTGCTTTGTCCTGGGTCAACCCCGATGGAAAATCACTCTAGTGGTGATTTCCAGGAAAAAAACATCATCCGCATCACAGCCTGCGTGTCACTATGGCAGGATCAAGTTGGTGGCGTGCAGCCTTTCCAGAAATTCCATTGTGCTTGATTGGAGTGATCCGAGAGGTAGAATTTGGGCCAGTGCAGTGCAGAGAAGGCTCCAGCGCCCTGGGTGGCAGAGGGAGCGCCCCCTGGAGGCGGTGGGGGAGAGAGGGAGCGCCTGCCTGAGCTCTGGAGTCGGGTCCCTTGGCAAGCTGCATTCCCCCCTTCTGCATCCTCATCAGTACACAGGGCGAGAATCGGAGAGAGGTATTTTAGTGCTGCTGTGAGGGTTACATGAGGTCATCTTCAGCCACCTCCTGGCCAGGTACCTCCTTGCCTTGGCCCGTCGCATCCCCCTCTGCTATCTGCTCAGCTCCGGTGTGGCAGTGTCCCAGGCTAGCTGGGTGGCACCCGGCAGCGCTGTGGACAAGGGTCCTTCCGAGGGAAACCCGCTCTGCTCCAGCACCCTGGCTTTGCCCTTTGCAAACCACCGGGCTGGATCCCGTTTCACATTCCTCAAACATTTGGGCGTCTTCACAGAAAGTCTGGCGGGAGGGAAGACGTGAGTTTGTATGGGGAGGATGGCGGGAGGTCTGACCCTGACCGTGGGCTTGTGTTTCAGGTGTCTCCGTGTGAGCGGTGCCGCTGCGAAGCCAACGGGGAGGTGCTGTGCACCGTGTCGGCGTGTCCTCAGACGGAGTGTGTGGACCCCGTGTACGAGCCTGACCAGTGCTGCCCCATCTGCAAAAATGGTACGTGAGCCACAGGTCGAGCGCAGGGCTGCCTACCACTTGCCTCCCAGTTCACCCCAAGTTCACTGCCTGCTTCGTGGTCGATGAAAGATGCATGCATGTGTGTGTTTGAACACGCGTCCGCACAGTCGGGGGCCCCAGGGGGACAGTTGGGAGCTGTTGTGCACGGAGGCGTGCACGCTCTTGCTGGTGTCAGCCCCGTGCTCTATAGAAGACCCAAGAAGCGCTTGGGGGAGAAATTCAATTTCCAGAGCGAGGAGAGTCCCTTACTTTCATTTAACTTTGTTCTTGCAAAGCAGTTTCTCTCTTTCCAAGACAAATCAAACATGCTGGTTGGGCTCATTTACTTTTCATTACTAAGTGAATTAAACTTTGGACATAATTAAATATTTTTCATAAGTAAATTAGGCAGGAAGAGCACCCCCTCTCCAGTGAGAGCCGTGGTAGATCAAAAGCCTCATCTGCTTTATGAAAAAGAAATGGCAAGATGTCCTTGATCATAACTGATAAAGGGAGAGCGTTTCCTCACCCTAAATAACGAGAATGACTTTGTACCTTGAAGTACTGAGCGCTGTTCTGGGCATCACGTTTTAAGAGGGTATTTGACAAGAGTGCATTCCCAGGGACAGTGGGCTTACCAATGATGGCTCAAGAGGGCGGCTGGATGAGGTAGTTGAGTTGGAGGCGAGCTGACTCTGGATTCATGATCAGGTCTTCAAGAGTTTGAGTCCCTTCCCTGAAGGAGGGATCTTGGGTGGTGTCTGTGTGGCCCCAGGGCGTGGTGCTAGGCCTCAAGGTCAGAGCCACAGATTGGCTCAGAAAGATGGGAGCATTTCCCTGACCTGAGCATTTCGGAGAAGGTGGTGGGCTCGAGAGGTGATCAGCTCGTCACTGCGGGGGTTACTGGCCCAAGCAGGAGGCCCTGCGATGCGGGCTTGGTAGGTGGCGGACGGTGACACAGCTCTTGTTAGTGTCTGGGGGGCATCTCTGGGAGGGTCAGTTAGGACTGGCAGGAATGGAGTCGGGGTGGGGAACGGGAGGCAGGTAGAGAGGCCGGCGGCCTTCGAGGGGGTGGGGGGTGAAGCGAGCCTGCTGAGGAGCCAGTGGGCACCTGGCGTCCATCAGGAGATCAGGGCGGCTCCTGTCCAGGCTGCAGTACCTGCTCATGGACAGGGAAGCACACTGCACAAGTCACCTCTCATGGAGTCAGTGCTGTTCAGTGGAAGGCTTAAATGTGGGCTGTCGAATATCTGGTTACCTTAAATATCCAAATACTGTGTGTTGTCTCTTGCCGAGCGCGATAAGAAACAACATTTTGGCCCTCGATAGAGTATCTGTGTTTGGACATTTCCAAAGGATGGGAAGATGTGATTTCAATCTCTGAGGAAGTTCTAGTCCTTGAAACTTGGTAAAGGTTTCAAACCCACAGAAAACTTGAAATGCTTGTGCAATGAACAAGTGTAGACCCTTCACTCCGTTTACCTTTCATGAACATTTTGCCATTTTTGCTTTATCTCTTTTGGTCTCTGTCTTTGTTCCCACTGGTCCCCATCTCTGCTGTACATAATCCAATGCCATCAGCACTTTTACTTATTTGTTCCTTCCCATCATACACTCCGGAGACCTTCTATTTATATCACCACCAGCATGAAGCCTACCGAGTACAGTTCAAGATTTTTCTTTGTAGGTCTGTTTGCGCTTAGGATTTATCCCAGTCAGGGTAGAGAGTCAGTGGACTCTGTTTAGAAATTATCTGGATTAATTCTTCTTTACCATCTCCATGACACTGATATTATAACTGAAAGTTTGTATCTCTTAATCCCCTTCACCTGTCTCTCCTCTCCCCCACTCCCTCCCCTGTGGTGGTCACCGGTTCGTTCTTGAATTAATTCCTTATTGGTGTGCATATGCTAAAATGTTAAGGATTCTCACTTTGGTAGACAGCATGGGATGGAATAGGGCAGGATTTGGGGATATGGGATACTAGAGATTCTTAGAAGGAGCATAAATATGTTTTCTAAAACCGGATTCAAGAAGGATTTGTATTAAAAGGTTTTGATCCACGGGCTCGTGGGGGGCTCAGTCGTTAAGCGTCTGCCTTCGGCTCAGGTCATGGTCCCGGGGTCCTGGGATCGAGCCCCGCATCGGGCTCCCTGCTCAGCTTCTCCCTCTCCCAGTCCCCCTGCTTGGGTTCTCTCTCGCCGTGTCTCTCTCTCTGTCTGTCAAATAAAAAAAGAAAAAGATTTTGATCCAGTTATGTCAAAACATCAATAACTTCTTATTTTCAGGAGTACCAAGTAGAAAGAAGTTTAAATGAGCCTAATCATATAACATATTCACCAGATAGAAAGGCTTTCTGCCATCTATAGTATTTAACCTTGACAGGTTAAATGGTGTTTGGAATTCTTACCAAAAGATTGGCTTGAAAAATGAGAAGGGTTTCTGTTGAACTTGAATACTCTGTAATAACTAACTGAGATTAGTGAATAATTTATGGTTGTCCATCTCTGCCACCCGCATACCCAAAACAATGTTGTTATAAGAAAATATTACACGTGGACTCAAAGATTATAGGACATCAAAAACAATGCCTTAGACAAAATTAGACGTAGATCGGATGGAATATGAAGGTTTTAAGTCCCAATCTCAGGAAACAGGCCTTTACTCTGCATACTCTAATGTCTTCACCTGTAGCATTAAATACTTCCTTCTCCCAACAAAGGGAAAACTACAGATCAGTTGCAAGCTGCCAAAGTCAATTGCGTCAAAGGTGCAAAAGTTTGAAACCAAGAGTGCATGGGATATAAATAAATGATCACAAATCAAGTACAACTTAATATATTCACTTTGGTGACTTGTATAGCTCAATCTGCCAAGGATTTTCTTTTGATTAAATGGCTTGTGTGGCACTGTTGTTGTTTTTTTTTTTCTTTCTCCCAGTGACACAAACAGCAAATGTTATTTATATGGACTTTCAGGATTTCAGATTTGCTCTGGAGACAGGGGCACTTCAGAGGTGAGGTTCACAGCACTCATTCCACTTAAGCCTGTTAGTCTCAGAACACTTGTGATTGGAGACTCTGTTCTGCACGTGTGCATGCTCTTCCTTCATGCATGTGAGCGGGGCATGACCTTGACTCTGGGCCTTGTTAGAATTAGCTCTGATTCTCTAAAGGGGAATAGCATACCCAAGGTGGTATGAGGTACTTTGAGAGTACTAAGGCCCTGGGTGTGAAGACTGTACATCTCACTGCAGTATTGTTGCCCTTAACAATACAGTTGACCCTTGAATGACATGGGTTTAAACTGTGTGGGTCCACTTATATGCAGATTTTTTTCCCCAATAAATACAAGACAGTCCTATAAATGTATCTTTGCTTCCTCATGATTTTCTTAACATTTTCTCTTCTCTAGCTTACTTTCTTGGAGGAGTACAGAATATAACACATACAGCATACAAAATATATGTTAATCAATTCTTTGTGTTATCGGTAAGGCTTCTGATCAACCGTAGGCTGTGAGCAGTTAAGTTTTTGGGGAGTCAAAAGTTATACACAGATTTTTGACTATGCAGAGGTCAGTTCCCTAAACCCACACATTGTTCCAGGGTCAACTAGTTCTTGGCAGCTTTATTTCCCCAAGAAAATAAATATTTTTTTGGAGAAGAAAATGAAAACTTTTATAAAATTTGTAAGAAAAATACTGAGACTTCAAATTATTAGAAGCACTTTCATGAAAAATATGTGAGAAACACTGACTAAGAATTAGAATTAGAGGGATTTTTTTTTCTCTCGTGTATCCCAAAGAGTAGCATAAAATCATAATTAAACCACGTGTAGTGAGTTGGACAGAACCGAATGGTGTGTGTGTGTGTGTGTGTGTGTGTGCAGGTGCACACTCTCTAGGGCAGACCATTTGTCAGGACATAAACAAGTCTTACTATATTAATATAAAGGACAATCACATAAAGTATGTTCTTTGAGCACAACAGAATTCAACAGAATTAAACAAGCACTACCAACAAAAAAACTTATGATACTTAACAAAAACTTACTATATGTCCACAAAAATGAGAACATGTGTCCACATAAAGATATGTATGTAAATGTTCATCGCAGTATTATCCTTAATAACCGAAAAAAGAAAAAGAAAATGGAAATACTCCAAATGTGCATTAACTGGTAAATGGATAAACAACATGTGGTATAAGCACACGATGGAATATAATTCACCAATAAAAAATGAGTAATGATATGTGCAACAACAAAAGAATGAACCTCAAAAACTCATTCTAAATGAAAGAAGCCGATCATAAAAGACAACCTGCTGTATGATTCTATTTTTTTGGAAGGTCTACAGTAGTCAAATTTACATAGGGAGAAAGCCCCTCCCTGGTGGCCTAGCCCTGGGGTCAGAGAGGGAATTCTCTGCAAATGGCCATGAGGGGATTTTGAGGTGATGGAATATTTATAAGTTGGGTTGTTATGATGGTTACACAAATAAATTTACTAAAATTATTAAATTGTATACTTACAATGGGTGAGTTTTGTGCTATTTAAAATACACCTCAATACTGCTGCTGGAAGTATTGACAATCTCTTAAAAAGATTGACAAAGTTGGGGCGCCTGGGTGGCTCAGTTGGTTAAGCATCTGACTTAGGCTCAGGTCATGATCTCAGAGTCTTGGGATTGAGCCCCACGTTGGGTTCTGCACTCAGGGAGGAGTCTGCTTCTCCCTCTCCCGCTGCCCCTCCCCCTGCTTGTGTGCTCTCTCTCTCTCTCTCTCTCTCTCTCTCAAATAAATAAATAAAATCTTTAATAAAAAAAGTGTAAGTTTTGTAATTTTCCATGACTCACGCCTAAGGCTAGTCTGAATACATATCCTTTCATCTTTCCTCAGAGACTGCCTTTTCAAATCCTGGTCTCATGCCCTTGATAACTATGAAATCTTCTAATTAAGCCTGTTGAAGCTGAGACCCTTCTAAGTATATACCGTTATT